TAAAGGTCAGGTCACCAGAGGTCATCAAAGGTCCCAGTCTCATGTCGCCTATTTCGACACTTTATGACAAATCGGCTCATAATTCAGGAACCAATACCTAAAGCTAGGGCATCGCGGAAAAAACGCAATGGATATTGGGTAGCTCTCCTATTGTTCATTCTGGAAATATTCTCCGATTTGATGTTAGTTCAAGGGTTGGCCTTCAGGCAATTTTCTAATTGATGCTTTTGCTGAAAATGCTTTCTAACGTACCTAACTTTAGTCATATAAGCCTTTGTAAGCGGTGTAGTGTGTAAGGTTGGTGTTATCGAATCGCGTTTTTCTCGTGGAGACGCATCGAATGAAGAACAAACTGACCTTTAAAATAAAAACTGTGTACAGAAATACAATGTATGGTCAAGGTCATGACCTGACCGCGAAAGGCTATGTCGTAGGTAGGTATACCAATTGCTCCATATTGTAAAGGTGAACCCATCCACGGTGCTTTAATCGCTTATAATGTATAACAAAAGGTATTAAAAAAACGAATGGTTATCTTTTATTTCCTAAGATGACCTCAGGGCCTGGGTGAGATCATGGGTGCAATTTTCCGATTTAGTATTCGGCATTAAGCTCAGCTGTAAAAAATGTTTTAGAGTGTTAATGAAAATCGCAGTTATATTTTCTCGACCCATCAACTTAGAATGGAGCTGTCTTAAATTTGATATAGGTACCTAACCGATATTGAAAACCCCAAATATGCGTTTTATACATCCTGTCACCCCTATCAATATTTGAAAGTTTCAAAGCTCTTCAATTCATGGTAGTCCGAAAGTCAGGGTAGCTCCGAAAACTTTTATTGAGGTTAGGCTAGGTCACCGGACCTGACCTGCCGACCTGACCTCGAGTTCGTTGCAAGGTTTGCTTCAGTTTGAGCCGCTGTGTTGTGCTGTTCTCTTGATCGTGCTTCTGCATTAAACGATGTGTCCCGGTCCCCGTTTATGCCACCGTATTGGTTTCCATTGTGCCGCTGTTACATGGTGTGCCCCCCTGTTCCGCCGTGTTAAGCAGTGTGTTTTCCTTTGTTACGCTGTTATACGATGTGTTCTAAATTCTAATTGTTTCGCTGCGTTTTGTGTTATATGATGTGTCCCCAATTGTTCCGCTATGTTACAGGGCGTATTTCTCATTGTTTCGCTATTACAGGGCGTGTTCCCATTGCTACGCTGTTACAAGGCGTGTTCTCATTAATTCGCTGTGCTACAAGACGTTTTCCCGATTATCGTGTTGTTACGCGGTGTGTTTCCCCTTGTCTTGTTCCTGTGTTACAGGTTGTGTACCTATTGCTCCACTGTTGCAGTGTGCTCCAGATTGTTACATTGTATTACAGGGGGAGGGGATGTTCCCCATTGCTCCGCTGTGTTACAGTGTGTGTTTCTGTTGGTTCCGTTGTGTTACAGGGTGTGTTCCCCATTGTTCCGCTGTGTTACAGTGTGTTCCCCATTATTCCGCTGTGTTACAGTGTGTTCCCCATCGTTCCGCTGCGTTACAGGGTGTGTTCCGGGCACCAGCTGGAGGGAGCGCTGTGCCACCTGCTCGTGCCCCTCTCAGAACTCCGGGCCGTCAGAGGCGGTCTGCCAGGACACCGACTGCCAGGAGGACCCCGCACTGGGTGAGATCAGAGGTTCGAGCTGAGGGACGGCTCCAATTTGGGACATAATGCCCAGGGTAGCGAGCGCTGCTGACCACATTTAGCCATGTTGAAGGCCGTGACAACAGCGGACGGTATCTATCCCCACTTCCAGGAGCGGGCCGGTGAAAAATGACATTGAGCCATATTGACCTCTGCGGTAGACAGGGATGACACCAGGCTGTCCGATCGTAAGTCCGTGACCATAATGGCACCACTGCGTGACCCCCCTCCTCCGGCAGACTGGGGCGACACATGGCGCTGCGGGTTGCTGGCCCGACTGCTCCGCCCCCTCTCCAGACTAGTCTGACCCCTCCCCCAGACTAGTCTGACCCCTCCCCTCCCCGGCAGACTGGGGTGACACTCGGCTGTGCGGCCGCTGGTCGGACTGTACGCCCCCCCAGACTAGTCTGACCACCTCCCCTCCCCGGCAGACTGGGGTGACACGAGACTGTGCGCCCCCCCCCAAACTAGTCTGACCACCTCCCCTCCCCGGCAGACTGGGGTGACACCAGACTGTGCGGCCGCTGGTCGGCCGACTGTCCCGCCGGCTGCCGGTTCGCCCTCCGCGACTGGCGCTGCACCTACTGTAACTGTGCAGCCCCTCCGACACCGGCCGCGGAGACCACAGCAGCGCCCCCCGGCGCCGGCTGCGCCCCCGGTACCGGCCCAGCCTGGCTCTGCAGCCAGACCATCCGCGTCACCGACCGCAGAGCGCCGCCCGGCGACCGCCAGGACAACTCGAGACTCGGCTCCCCGCCGCCAGAGGCGCTGACATCGCTGACCCGCGCGGCCCGCGGCAGCGACGGCGGCTGGACGAGCATAAAGGAAGCGGGCAGGATGGCCAGGGCCCGGGCCGCCGCCCGTGGAACGCGAGACGAGTCGCGAGGGGCCACAGAAGGGGGAGGGCACAGGTCATCAGCCTCGTGGACGGCTCGTGGGCACCGGCTGTGATTGGGAAATGGGAGCGCCTGTACCAGAAGCCAACGGCAGGACTGTCCCTTCGCCTCGCGTTTTAGTCTTGCTTTGGTATGCGTTCGTTTGTTGCTGGTCACTGAGGTAGGAGCTCTATTTAAGAAACCAGCGCGCGAGCGAGGCAACTCTGTGGGCGAGCGTGCACGGCACCCCACTGCTCCAATGCGTACACAGGGTGCAGGGCAAAGGCTGTGCAAATGTGCATCAAATAACTGTTGAACACTGTTTAACCCTCGCCCGCACATGGGGGGGGGGGGTGGTTGCCACCCCCCCCAGGCAGTCTTTCTGCTCTGCACTCAACATTTTTCGAGCTAGAAGGCTGATTTTTCGTATAGCTGCTCGTCCATCCTTTCTTGATGTCCACTGAAAATTTCAAGTTTCTGTGATTTTCGGTTTCGGAGATATGACCTTGTTTTTCAGGTCATGTCATGACCCAAATGGCCAATTCTCAACATCTTGCGTTTGCCATGGGCCTTGTGAGCTTTTGACACCCTGATTTCGGCCTTTTTTGCCAGTCTTACCTCCCACCTATCATGGAACATGTTGTTCGACGATGTACAGGGGTCAAGGTCAGGGTCAAGGTCAACCTAGGTCATCTAAGATAATTGCGTTTTAGGCAAGCTGAATTTACTTTTTGTGAAGTTTTTTGACTGCATTTTTGGTAAAAGCTTCTCAGATCATGATTTCATGTGATATGGACCCAAAAACAATCGGTGCACACATCAGTATACACACAGACACACACAGACATACAAACACATATAATTGACCTTGACCTAACTTGACCTGAAATGACCTCAGCAGCAAAATTCTGGTCGGATAGTGTGACAAAGAGGTTCTAGCTGGCTTGGCACCAGAAAACAGCATCGTCATCGGTATTTGATAAGCAGCGCACTTGATATCCAACGGTGACCCAAAACAGCAACATTTTTTAGTTTGACCTGACCTGGAAGGTCAATGACTGACCTGAAAAGGTAAAACTGGGTATCATTGGATTCGTCTCTTCCTAAAGAATCTTTTTGGTCTTTACTGCTAAGCTCTATCTCCAACAGGAACGAAATGGCTCGGGGGGGGGGTGGCAACCACCCCCCCCCCATGTGCGTTCTAGGATGGGAAAATGGCATGTGCGGGCGAGGGTTAATAAATTATGTTCCAGCAACTGGTTAAATTAACAGAGACATCCTCCTTCGAAATCACAGTTGCAGCACACTGCGACTGTCACCTGCTAAAAAAGGAAACTGAATTGTACAAAAACGGGCTAACTAGCGGCGCTGCGCCATAGCGTATGTGCCAGAAAGCAAGCATCGCTTCAGCTGGCTAATCTGCCATCATTTCCCACACTGCTGAATGATACAGACGGTGTAAAACACGTTAAAAATATATTTCGCTGTTGATGATCCAGTAGAAAGCACGGATTGTCTTTGAGGCGCCGCCCTCACTGAGAGGCGGGCGCGGATGGGGGAGGGGTCGATCGGCCACCCCCGAGCCGACTGGTCAGGCCTGCGGTCCTCGGGGGCAGCGAACTGGCAGTGAGCGGCACGGGCCCGGGCGCCCTCTAGATACAGAGCGTACTCCGTACAGCGTACACCAAACAGCCGCTAGAAAACGCACAGCGCAACGGCAGTCACCAGAAAACGCACAGCGCCGCGGCAGCCACCAGAAAACGCACAGCGCCGAGGCAGTCACGGCGCACAGTGGCGCCGGCAGCGAACATATAACAGCCCGCCTCAGAGCTGCAGGGTCTGTGACGGCACACGGACCCCCGCCGGACGACCGCGCTCAGCGAGCGCCCGCCGGCGCCGGCCGCGGGGGGCGGTCAGTGCGGTAAAAAAGCCCCGGTCAACAGAGGAGCGGCAACCACTGGCCCCGTCACAGCCTCCGCGCGCTACCAGGAACAATCGAGGGCCTTGGCCTGGCGGGGCGGGACCTCAAACATTTACCGCTGCCTCAATAGTCAATACCCGAAATGGTCGGCGGGACAAAACACCGCATGGTCACGCACAATAAATAGAATATCAACAGAGAGGGAGGGGCTCGTCCTGGCACACGCGCTCTACTACTACAGACGCGCTTTACAGCGGGCCCTCGGGAAGCTCGTATACACACACTCAGCGCCGCCACACCACTGGCCAGCGGCGCCGCGGGGCCGCCGCAGGATACAAATACAACACGAGCGGCGCCGATCGTCCCAGTGGACCCCATTTGTACAACAAATTGCAGCCGGTATCAGCTAACAGCCTCAAAAGCCAGAGGTCGGCCGTAGTTAACATTACTCGGACCATAAAGCTTGTGTCGAGCGGGAGGTAAAACAGATCTGACGTTAAAATCAGATCATGATTTTTCATGCATCACCATAGGGTTAATTTAGGTCCGAAAGACAAGGAGATAGTCCAAATGCTCCTACTACTAGTAAGTACTACGCATTTCCAATTCATGAGGCAGGGAATCCGAAACCTCCACCAAATACTACACTGCCTCATAAAACACTCCAGGGACTACACAATTTTGGGGGCCGAAATTATCGCGTCAAGAACGGTTCATTCCCTGCCACTACAAAAACCAGCGTTCAAGTCAGCGGCGCCAGCGCGCTGCCACCAAACAGCCAGGACGAAAACTGTACAGGGCGAGCTGCGCGAGCGAACAGCTGCCCCAACGACCCTCTCACACAGCCTATGTCGAAACAATGAATCGTGAAAACCGGCGAGCGAACATCAGATCGGCGTCCACACATGATGTCAAAATGTCGTTAAAAAGCTACAGTAAAAATGGCATGCGATCAAAAACATCTACTTGATGAACAGGGTGATATGGCAATTGGAAGGTCAAATCTCGCGCGCCCTGGAAAACCAGTTATTGTTGTGCATGCGCACCGATGATTAAAAAACCACTATACAAAAGGGACATTTACAGTTACAACCGTTGAAATGCATCAGATTGGTTGGCTCCGGCCCGGCCCGCCGCCCGGGTCGCGGGGAGGTCGCTGTGGGGTCGCCAGCAGCCCGGGTCGCGGGGAGGTCGTTGTGGGGTCGCCGGCCGCTGGCGGCAGCCCGGCAGTACTGGCGGCTCGGCGCCGGCGCAGCGCTGGCGCGCCTCGGTCGTCTACTCACAGTCCGCCGGCCAGCTGTGTGTCGCGCAGGGCCTCCGGCTCGCCGGGCCGGCAGTTGCCACCCAGCTGCACCAGGTGGCTCCAGGGCGCGTGGCCGAGCCAGAGGCGCAGCTCGCCGGTGTACTGGCCCACCGCCTCCGGACAGAAGTAGATGGACATCTGCACGTAGCGCTGCGACGGCGCCAGCAGCCGGCCCTCGGTCAGCTCGGTGGGCGTGCGCTCGTTGGGCCCCGAGACCACCTTGAACGGACCCGTCACGTGGTAGTCCACCTGCGGGGAGAGAACAGAGAGCGGGGGTTAGCGGGCAGCGGCGGCCGACACAGCACTTATCGGATACGATAAAATCGAGCAGCATGATGAATTCTCCAGCAAAAATAGGTCTCCCAGTCATCCCATGTCCCAGCTAGAGCAAACGTATAATATAGCTGTTAGGTTATTCCGTTAACAAAATAGCTGCAGCTTCACTCACATCCAAGTCCTCGCAGGTTTTGTTGGTCACGTCCAGTTTGTGGCACATGGACCAGTGGTCGAAGTAGAAGCTTTGGCTGGAGACGTGCAGCGGAGTGGTCAGCAGGTCCGCCTCGTCTTCCCCGTCCTCGAGCACACTGCCGCGGCCCGAGACCCGTACTGGCACCGTGTACACCACCATCGGCTGACCCCTGAGGACGGAACACAGGTCAGTTATAACACCTCACACTGCCGCGGCCCGAGACCCGTACCGGCACCGTGTACACCACCATCGGCTGGCCCCTGAGGACGGGTTAACACAGGTCAGTTATACCACCTCACACTGCCGCGGCCCGAGACCCGTACCGGCACCGTGTACACCACCATCGGCTGGCCCCTGAGGACGGGTTAACACAGGTCAGTTATAACACCTCACACTGCCGCGGCCCGAGACCCGTACCGGCACCGTGTACACCACCATCGGCTGGCCCCTGAGGACGGGTTAACACAGGTCAGTTATAACACCTCACACTGCCGCGGCCCGAGACCCGTACCGGCACCGTGTACACCACCATCGGCTGGCCCCTGAGGACGGGTTAACACAGGTCAGTTATACCACCTCACACTGCCGCGGCCCGAGACCCGTACTGGCACCGTGTACACCACCATCGGCTGGCCCCTGAGGACGGGTTAACACAGGTCAGTTATAACACCTCACACTGCCGCGGCCCGAGACCCGTACCGGCACCGTGTACACCACCATCGGCTGGCCCCTGAGGACGGGTTAACACAGGTCAGTTATAACACCTCACACTGCCGCGGCCCGAGACCCGTACCGGCACCGTGTACACCACCATCGGCTGGCCCCTGAGGACGGGTTAACACAGGTCAGTTATAACACCTCACACTGCCGCGGCCCGAGACCCGTACCGGCACCGTGTACACCACCATCGGCTGGCCCCTGAGGACGGGTTAACACAGGTCAGTTATAACACCTCACACTGCCGCGGCCCGAGACCCGTACCGGCACCGTGTACACCACCATCGGCTGGCCCCTGAGGACGGGTTAACACAGGTCAGTTATAACACCTCACACTGCCGCGGCCCGAGACCCGTACCGGCACCGTGTACACCACCATCGGCTGACCCCTGAGGACGGGTTAACACAGGTCAGTTATAACACCTCACACTGCCGCGGCCCGAGACCCGTACCGGCACCGTGTACACCACCATCGGCTGGCCCCTGAGGACGGAACACAGGACAGTTATAACACCTCACACTGCCGCGGCCCGAGACCCGTACCGGCACCGTGTACACCACCATCGGCTGGCCCCTGAGGACGGGTTAACACAGGTCAGTTATAACACCTCACACTGCCGCGGCCCGAGACCCGTACCGGCACCGTGTACACCACCATCGGCTGGCCCCTGAGGACGGGTTAACACAGGTCAGTTATAACACCTCACACTGCCGCGGCCCGAGACCCGTACCGGCACCGTGTACACCACCATCGGCTGGCCCCTGAGGACGGGTTAACACAGGTCAGTTATAACACCTCACACTGCCGCGGCCCGAGACCCGTACCGGCACCGTGTACACCACCATCGGCTGGCCCCTGAGGACGGGTTAACACAGGTCAGTTATACCACCTCACACTGCCGCGGCCCGAGACCCGTACCGGCACCGTGTACACCACCATCGGCTGGCCCCTGAGGACGGGTTAACACAGGTCAGTTATAACACCTCACACTGCCGCGGCCCGAGACCCGTACCGGCACCGTATACACCACCATCGGCTGGCCCCTGAGGACGGGGAACACAGGTCAGTTATACCACCTCACACTGCCGCGGCCCGAGACCCGTACTGGCACCGTGTACACCACCATCGGCTGGCCCCTGAGGACGGGTTAACACAGGTCAGTTATAACACCTCACACTGCCGCGGCCCGAGACCCGTACCGGCACCGTGTACACCACCATCGGCTGGCCCCTGAGGACGGGTTAACACAGGTCAGTTATAACACCTCACACTGCCGCGGCCCGAGACCCGTACCGGCACCGTGTACACCACCATCGGCTGGCCCCTGAGGACGGGTTAACACAGGTCAGTTATAACACCTCACACTGCCGCGGCCCGAGACCCGTACCGGCACCGTGTACACCACCATCGGCTGGCCCCTGAGGACGGGTTAACACAGGTCAGTTATAACACCTCACACTGCCGCGGCCCGAGACCCGTACCGGCACCGTGTACACCACCATCGGCTGGCCCCTGAGGACGGGTTAACACAGGTCAGTTATAACACCTCACACTGCCGCGGCCCGAGACCCGTACCGGCACCGTGTACACCACCATCGGCTGGCCCCTGAGGACGGGTTAACACTGGTCAGTTATAACACCTCACACTGCCGCGGCCCGAGACCCGTACCGGCACCGTGTACACCACCATCGGCTGGCCCCTGAGGACGGGGAACACAGGTCAGTTATAACACCTCACACTGCCGCGGCCCGAGACCCGTACCGGCACCGTGTACACCACCATCGGCTGGCCCCTGAGGACGGGTTAACACTGGTCAGTTATAACACCTCACACTGCCGCGGCCCGAGACCCGTACCGGCACCGTGTACACCACCATCGGCTGGCCCCTGAGGACGGGTTAACACAGGTCAGTTATAACACCTCACACTGCCGCGGCCCGAGACCCGTACCGGCACCGTGTACACCACCATCGGCTGACCCCTGAGGACGGGTTAACACAGGTCAGTTATAACACCTCACACTGCCGCGGCCCGAGACCCGTACCGGCACCGTGTACACCACCATCGGCTGGCCCCTGAGGACGGGTTAACACAGGTCAGTTATAACACCTCACACTGCCGCGGCCCGAGACCCGTACCGGCACCGTGTACACCACCATCGGCTGGCCCCTGAGGACGGAACACAGGTCAGTTATAACACCTCACACTGCCGCGGCCCGAGACCCGTACCGGCACCGTGTACACCACCATCGGCTGGCCCCTGAGGACGGGTTAACACAGGTCAGTTATACCACCTCACACTGCCGCGGCCCGAGACCCGTACTGGCACCGTGTACACCACCATCGGCTGACCCCTGAGGACGGAACACAGGTCAGTTATAACACCTCACACTGCCGCGGCCCGAGACCCGTACCGGCACCGTGTACACCACCATCGGCTGGCCCCTGAGGACAGAACACAGGTCAGTTATAACACCTCACACTGCCGCGGCCCGAGACCCGTACCGGCACCGTGTACACCACCATCGGCTGGCCCCTGAGGACGGGTTAACACAGGTCAGTTATAACACCTCACACTGCCGCGGCCCGAGACCCGTACCGGCACCGTGTACACCACCATCGGCTGGCCCCTGAGGACGGGTTAACACAGGTCAGTTATAACACCTCACACTGCCGCGGCCCGAGACCCGTACTGGCACCGTGTACACCACCATCGGCTGACCCCTGAGGACGGGGAACAGGTCAGTTATAACACCTCACACTGCCGCGGCCCGAGACCCGTACCGGCACCGTGTACACCACCATCGGCTGACCCCTGAGGACGGGTTAACACAGGTCAGTTATAACACCTCACACTGCCGCGGCCCGAGACCCGTACCGGCACCGTGTACACCACCATCGGCTGGCCCCTGAGGACGGGTTAACACTGGTCAGTTATAACACCTCACACTGCCGCGGCCCGAGACCCGTACCGGCACCGTGTACACCACCATCGGCTGGCCCCTGAGGACGGGTTAACACAGGTCAGTTATAACACCTCACACTGCCGCGGCCCGAGACCCGTACCGGCACCGTGTACACCACCATCGGCTGACCCCTGAGGACGGGTTAACACAGGTCAGTTATAACACCTCACACTGCCGCGGCCCGAGACCCGTACCGGCACCGTGTACACCACCATCGGCTGGCCCCTGAGGACGGGTTAACACAGGTCAGTTATAACACCTCACACTGCCGCGGCCCGAGACCCGTACCGGCACCGTGTACACCACCATCGGCTGGCCCCTGAGGACGGGTTAACACAGGTCAGTTATAACACCTCACACTGCCGCGGCCCGAGACCCGTACCGGCACCGTGTACACCACCATCGGCTGACCCCTGAGGGACGGAACACAGGTCAGTTATAACACCTCACACTGCCGCGGCCCGAGACCCGTACCGGCACCGTGTACACCACCATCGGCTGGCCCCTGAGGACGGGTTAACACAGGTCAGTTATACCACCTCACACTGCCGCGGCCCGAGACCCGTACTGGCATCGTGTACACCACCATCGGCTGACCCCTGAGGACGGAACACAGGTCAGTTATAACACCTCACACTGCCGCGGCCCGAGACCCGTACCGGCACCGTGTACACCACCATCGGCTGGCCCCTGAGGACAGAACACAGGTCAGTTATAACACCTCACACTGCCGCGGCCCGAGACCCGTACCGGCACCGTGTACACCACCATCGGCTGGCCCCTGAGGACGGGTTAACACAGGTCAGTTATAACACCTCACACTGCCGCGGCCCGAGACCCGTACCGGCACCGTGTACACCACCATCGGCTGGCCCCTGAGGACGGGTTAACACAGGTCAGTTATAACACCTCACACTGCCGCGGCCCGAGACCCGTACTGGCACCGTGTACACCACCATCGGCTGACCCCTGAGGACGGGGAACAGGTCAGTTATAACACCTCACACTGCCGCGGCCCGAGACCCGTACCGGCACCGTGTACACCACCATCGGCTGACCCCTGAGGACGGGTTAACACAGGTCAGTTATAACACCTCACACTGCCGCGGCCCGAGACCCGTACCGGCACCGTGTACACCACCATCGGCTGGCCCCTGAGGACAGAACACAGGTCAGTTATAACACCTCACACTGCCGCGGACCGAGACCCGTACCGGCACCGTGTACACCACCATCGGCTGGCCCCTGAGGACGGGTTAACACAGGTCAGTTATAACACCTCACACTGCCGCGGCCCGAGACCCGTACCGGCACCGTGTACACCACCATCGGCTGGCCCCTGAGGACGGGTTAACACAGGTCAGTTATAACACCTCACACTGCCGCGGCCCGAGACCCGTACCGGCACCGTGTACACCACCATCGGCTGGCCCCTGAGGACGGGTTAACACAGGTCAGTTATAACACCTCACACTGCCGCGGCCCGAGACCCGTACTGGCACCGTGTACACCACCATCGGCTGACCCCTGAGGACGGAACACAGGTCAGTTATAACACCTCACACTGCCGCGGCCCGAGACCCGTACCGGCACCGTGTACACCACCATCGGCTGGCCCCTGAGGACGGAACACAGGTCAGTTATAACACCTCACACTGCCGCGGCCCGAGACCCGTACCGGCACCGTGTACACCACCATCGGCTGGCCCCTGAGGACGGGTTAACACAGGTCAGTTATACCACCTCACACTGCCGCGGCCCGAGACCCGTACTGGCACCGTGTACACCACCATCGGCTGACCCCTGAGGACGGAACACAGGTCAGTTATAACACCTCACACTGCCGCGGCCCGAGACCCGTACCGGCACCGTGTACACCACCATCGGCTGGCCCCTGAGGACAGAACACAGGTCAGTTATAACACCTCACACTGCCGCGGCCCGAGACCCGTACCGGCACCGTGTACACCACCATCGGCTGGCCCCTGAGGACGGGTTAACACAGGTCAGTTATAACACCTCACACTGCCGCGGCCCGAGACCCGTACCGGCACCGTGTACACCACCATCGGCTGGCCCCTGAGGACGGGTTAACACAGGTCAGTTATAACACCTCACACTGCCGCGGCCCGAGACCCGTACTGGCACCGTGTACACCACCATCGGCTGACCCCTGAGGACGGGGAACAGGTCAGTTATAACACCTCACACTGCCGCGGCCCGAGACCCGTACCGGCACCGTGTACACCACCATCGGCTGACCCCTGAGGACGGGTTAACACAGGTCAGTTATAACACCTCACACTGCCGCGGCCCGAGACCCGTACCGGCACCGTGTACACCACCATCGGCTGGCCCCTGAGGACGGAACACAGGTCAGTTATAACACCTCACACTGCCGCGGCCCGAGACCCGTACCGGCACCGTGTACACCACCATCGGCTGGCCCCTGAGGACGGGTTAACACAGGTCAGTTATAACACCTCACACTGCCGCGGCCCGAGACCCGTACCGGCACCGTGTACACCACCATCGGCTGGCCCCTGAGGACGGGTTAACACAGGTCAGTTATACCACCTCACACTGCCGCGGCCCGAGACCCGTACCGGCACCGTGTACACCACCATCGGCTGGCCCCTGAGGACGGAACACAGGTCAGTTATAACACCTCACACTGCCGCGGCCCGAGACCCGTACCGGCACCGTGTACACCACCATCGGCTGGCCCCTGAGGACAGAACACAGGTCAGTTATAACACCTCACACTGCCGCGGCCCGAGACCCGTACCGGCACCGTGTACACCACCATCGGCTGGCCCCTGAGGACGGGTTAACACAGGTCAGTTATAACACCTCACACTGCCGCGGCCCGAGACCCGTACCGGCACCGTGTACACCACCATCGGCTGGCCCCTGAGGACGGGTTAACACAGGTCAGTTATAACACCTCACACTGCCGCGGCCCGAGACCCGTACCGGCACCGTGTACACCACCATCGGCTGGCCCCTGAGGACAGAACACAGGACAGTTATAACACCTCACACTGCCGCGGCCCGAGACCCGTACCGGCACCGTGTACACCACCATCGGCTGGCCCCTGAGGACGGGTTAACACTGGTCAGTTATAACACCTCACACTGCCGCGGCCCGAGACCCGTACCGGCACCGTATACACCACCATCGGCTGGCCCCTGAGGACGGGTTAACACAGGTCAGTTATAACACCTCACACTGCCGCGGCCCGAGACCCGTACTGGCACCGTGTACACCACCATCGGCTGGCCCCTGAGGACGGGGAACACAGGTCAGTTATAACACCTCACACTGCCGCGGCCCGAGACCCGTACCGGCACCGTGTACACCACCATCGGCTGACCCCTGAGGACGGGTTAACACAGGTCAGTTATAACACCTCACACTGCCGCGGCCCGAGACCCGTACCGGCACCGTGTACACCACCATCGGCTGGCCCCTGAGGACGGGTTAACACAGGTCAGTTATACCACCTCACACTGCCGCGGCCCCTGAGGGACAGATGAACACTTCAGACTCGCACAGAGCACTGTCACAGGCACGACTAAATATGAACACCCATAGAACACCCGATGACCATGATTGGTCACCACAGAGCGTCTTTGAAACGTTAAGGAGCGAATCGAACACAGGTTAGCTTGCTACTTATCACCCTTACCTGGCCATTCATAACTGACCGATAGGGCCAGGAGTATGGCCGGGCCCGGAGTATCCAACCGCAGCCCTTCCCGTCCGATCGCAATCCACCTCACGGTCCTCTGGCCAGCTCAGGCGGCAGGCGCCCGTGGCACCGCCACCGACCCACCCGCGCCATCATCCTCTCCCCAGTACCATCACTCACACAGGCTCCTTGGCCGGCTTCCAGTGCCCGACCACACCCCGCTCTCCTCACCCCATCACTCACAGGCATCTCGGCCGGCTTCCAGTGTCCGCCCACACCCCGCCCTCCTCACCCCAGCACTTACACAGGCTCCTTGGCCGGCTTGCAGAGCAGCTGGAAGTGCTGCGTCAGCTTCCCAGGGTACGGCGGGCTGAACCGCACCTGCAGAGACACCGTCTGCCCAGACGCCACCTCACCCTCCTTCGGACGGATCTTGAACACGTCGTACCCGCACTTCTTCATCTTGTCCGGGTGGGCGCCCTGCGCACAGAAAGGTCAGTGACTTCATGAATTACTAACGTCTAAAGCTATGCTTACAATATTATTTAGTCTACGAAGAAAAAGCAACTCCAGTCAACATCCACATACCTACCCGCAATCCCATGCAGCTTCCCATGTGAAACAAACAACCGATTACTTAAAAATCCTCCGCAGACCTACAGCTGCATAGAGCTTCCACAACCACAAACACCTTGCACCAATCACCAGCCTTTAGTGTAGCCCTCCCTCCCCACTGCTGTTCTGAGACGCGGCGCGCACCTTGACCAGGTAGGGCACGCTGTAGCCGAGTATGTTCCAGGTGAGCACGTCCTCTCCCAGGTTGGTGAGCTGCAGGGCGGCCTCGCTAGGCACGCCGAGCGCCGTGAGCGGGAACAGCAGGTGGTCGGTGGAGAGGCGCAGCCGCGGCCGGCCGCTGTCTGTAGCCACCACCCGCTCGGCGCCCGGCCCGTCCGGCCACCAGTCCTCGTCCTCCGCGGCCGGCGGCGGCGGAGGGGGCGGCGGCGGCGGCGGCGGGGCCAGCGGCGGGCCGCGCTTCCTCGGACTGCTCTTGGTGCGACTCGGAGAGGCCGACGGGCGCCGCGGGGAGCCGCCCGGAGCCAGGCTGGGACCCGCCTGGGAGCAGGGAGCAAACGTCAGAACATGGGCAATTCACGCGAAGGTGGGGCACGGCACGGCTGGACGGCACAGCAGAGACGAGAACGTGTGCAATTTAAGCCAAAATGTCACACTCACACCGGAACACCATCATTGCTCAAAATAACCGAAATATCATAGTGAAGCGCCAATCAGTAGCACGATAATAAAGAAAAGTAATGCAAACTGCTAGACTGTAAAGAAGACTCGCCTGAGAGCTCTCTGCTTTCTGCAGATTATTGTTATACGAACTGAGACCGACTTACCGCGGCTCGCTGAGGGCTGACGGGCGTGGAGCTACCCGCTCGGCCCACGGTGACGGTGCTGCAAACAAAGGGAGTCATCAGGAATAAGACAAAATCACATAACTCGGCTCAATACAGCGGATTTATTAGAGAAAAAATCCAGCATCAAAACTGCATTGGAAGACAAGTATGACTTATTGATTCCAGCCGAAACCTCGCGAAAGACCGGACTCATTACCTTTTACGCTTTAAAAAAGTGAGTCAGACCACCTCCGAACATTTACGCGACTGTAGCAGTTGTCGACCCGCCCCAGCTGTGACGAACCAGATACCCGCGCTCCCCGTCTGCAGTTCAGACCGCCCGTCCATCCTGGCCCGGAGTGTGTAACTCACCGGGGCACAGCGGCCGGCTGCAGCTCCTGCAGGTTACCGCGGCCGGACGGGCCGGCCACTGCCGCCGTCGCCGCCGCTCCGCCGGCCCCCTCCGGGTCTGCGAGCACACCAACACAGTCGCGAGTCAGACACAGCGCTTATAGGAATCAGAACCGGGAACGGATTACACATGGTGGGTTATCTAACTTACACGTCGAACAGCCTTATACTCGTATGGTGTCATGCACAGAGTACGTAATGTTAGAATAAAACTGTCTGCAATTTGCAGATTACATTCGTAATGTTCTGTTATCAATGGCAAACATTTCTGCTAAACTGTAATATCTGCACAGCAAGACGTGGCAAAAACTACCATACAGTTTCCAATTTCCATATCTTTGCCAGCTGGGACATTCTTACAAAAAGTCTAGCCTTGAGCCTTAGCATCTCCAGTAGGTAGGCATCCCCATCGCAAGCCCCAGCCCCGCTTCATGGCATGCCTGGACCCAGAAGCCCGAGCGCCCCTCAGTACTCACACAGGAGCGGCAGCTTGGTCTGTCTCATGTTGCTGAAGAAGACGTCCTCCAGCTTGTTCGGAGGGATGCCGAGCGGCACGTCAGAGCACAGGTCCTGCAGCTCGCCATCAAACGTTTCCTAAAGAACAACAGTCGATCAATCACCACGCAGAAATCGCAATCAATGCCACGCAACGGCGCTTAGGGTCAAGGGTGTCTTACCTACACCATACGTCGTACAACAGCAGTGTGGGAAGCTGTGGCCCGACTCGAGGTGCCCCCTTCACACCCAGCTGCAGCAGGGAACATACCTGGAAATCTGCGAGCCGCCGGGACACTGACCTGGAAGTCAGTGAGTCGTAGGGACACTGACCTGGAAGTCGGTGAGCTGGAGGAAGCCGCGCGGCCGCTGCAGCGCCGGCGCGCCCGTCGGCCAGGCGTGGCGCAGCTCGCGGCGCAGCACCTCGTCCCCGCAGAGCACGGAGACGGCCAGGCCGGCGGCGGCGGCCGGCTGGCTCGGCGGCACGGCCACCGTCAGCTGCTGGGTCTCCCCGGCGGCTACCACACAGCGCGCCGGCAGTGCGGTGGCCGCACCGTCCGGCACGCGCTCCCGGCACGTCGAGTCTGCGGCGAGGGGGATAGATCAGTCAGCGACGCGCGACCCGTGAACCGTCTGCGAGCATCCCCGTCAGACGGAACAGCAGTGACCCAGTCTTTCCAAACGATAAAACGGCTGATCACAACAGAGTTTAGCCTTCGATACCCACAATATCATAGTCACCCACTAGGGTTACCCGCGTGCTCCGCAACGCGAAGGGGGGATTTTTTGACCCGTGGGTATTGGGTTGGTCTGTGTCGATTTAGTTGGTAGATATCCATTTCGTTCGATTGCTTTTTGACGGCCAAGCATTTTGTAAGAAAACAAAAAGATACATCGCATCGAGGTGCCCGTGTCGTATTATCATGCGTTCTACTTTAGAATGATGCGAAAACTGGCGTGAAGTCTTTTGAGGGCCATCGATGAATTTCGCTAAAAATGACAATGTAATGGTTTGGAACATTTACATTTTTAAGGATACTGTTGCTAATCATGCAAAAATGAAGAGTGAATATTGGACAGAATTGAATGCTCTATCCAATGGTACCATATTCAATTGCCAAAGGTATCAGGTTATGCAGCAAACCCCGTGTGATTAATAAAGTGGCACAAAATTGACAAACACCATTTTCTCCTGTGATTTGCACCACCTTGATTTGGATCAATCAGCTTTTCACAATTTTTATATGAGAGGCGGTACCTTTCTCTTGCAAATAGGCGTTGATTCAACTCGCTCCATTTAACGGTCACCTAAAAATAAAATTAATTCCAAAATCCCTCAAAAACCGCAACTTTTCAAATAAAAGTGCCCTCTCCGGTGCACGTGGCGCGTGCTATCCTCTGCATTGCACACCATTCAATAGCCCGTTCAATTCTGTACACGATGCTGTTTTCCCCGTGCCGATCGGACCCCTGGTCACCAAGATATCGCACCTGGACCGGACCCGTGTCGGCCAAAATTAGCCGTTTTCGCCCGATTTCGCACGCCGATTTATACATGTAAAGTCTATGACGCCAATTTGCACTTTTGGGGCACGCGCCACGCGCTCGCTAACGACCCGATCGAGCTGAGACCCCTCAAAGGCACGTCGCGCATCTTTGATCTATAAGTTGTACAAATTTCACCGGGCTAGGTGCAACGGTCTGGCCTGTAGTCCACGCAAAGCACCACCAAGTCGGGACCTCGGTAACGGACAGACGCACCCTCCTCAAATAGTAATATAGATAAGTAAGTCATAGTAAGAAGTTCCACAGTGCCGGCCACAGAGCTAGGCAGCATCGCCTTCCCACTAAAAGCCTATCCAGCGCCCACAGTCCGCCATCTCATCTCACACTGCCACTTGGTGCACTCAGCAGCCCGCTCAGCACCCACCGACCCCCTCTCCCCAAATCACTGCTCAGTCCACTCAGCACCCACCGACCCCCTCTCCCCATTAAATCACGGCTCCCATATCCTCCACCCCTTCCCCACTGACCGGTACAGACGAAGAGGCGGACGTAGGCGGCGCGCGGCCCGCGGTCCCCTACCCCGCTCCCCCTTACCCACCTGTACAGACGAAGGGGCGTAGGTAGGCGGAGCGCGGGCCGCGGTCCCCCACCCCCCTCCCCCATACCCACCTGTGCAGACGAAGAGGCGGACGTAGGCGGCGCGCGGTCCGCGGTTGGCGACCATCAGGCCGGCCAGCAGCGAGCCGTCCGGCGCCGTCATGTTGAGCAGCAGCGTCAGGCCGGCCGTCGGCTGGCGGGTGTTCAGACACACCTGGATGTTGGCGGCGCCGCCATAGCCGCACAGCGGGATCTGAGAACACGGCGCACAGGTTGTTGGTCGAAATGGAGCCACTGGTCCGGTTCGGCGGCATACCTGCACCGCATCGGCCGTAGCCCGTCGCCCCAGTGCGAGCAGTGCACGGATCCGCGCTGCCGGGCGAGCTGGTGCCTGGCCTGCGGCGAGGCGCCGGATACGTCTGAGCACCTGCTGCTCCACTGCCCTGCTTTGATGGTGCGGCGTTTCCGGCTCCTGGGTACGCTGCACCCCGCTATCGAGGATACCAGACGGGACGACGTGGTGGCGGCCCTGGTGGGGGCCGCCAGATCCCTCCAGAGCCCAAGAGCTACGGTCCGCCCGGCGGACCGGGGGGACTGACGACGACGACGACGACAAATTGAGCCCGGACAAACAATTTACATCAAGAAGACGGCAATCTATCTCCAACCCGACCTTATCCTCGGCTCTCGCGACAAATCATATGCACAGAGCACCAACAAGACCGAAATGATAGAACATGTACCTAACCAATTCTGAACCCATTGACAGCCAGCATGTACGGAAATCTGCCGTCTATCAAACAAACGTTTGCAAATGTGTGGGTGGGAAGTGCCCAATGCCTAGACTCACCACGGCGGCGAGTCCGGTCGGCTGGGCGGCCTGTGAGGACGTGTGAAGTGTACAGTGCAGTGCGTGTCACTCACCACGGCGGCGAGTCCTGTCGGCTGGGCGGCCTTGCGCACCAGCACAGAGTCCCGGTAACAGTCGGCGGCCGGCGGGGCGAACAGTACCGGCACGCGCCTCTCGGTGGCCGGCGGCAGCGTCAGCTCCAGGGCCCGGCCCGGCTGGTCGCCCTGGAACTGTCGGGGCGCGGGGAGGGCAGCGGTCACACCTGGGTCCGGGCGGGCCTGCTGACTGGAGCACCGGTCGGTCGTCCTTTTTAATCAGCATACTGGTTGATGAATGCTGGCGTTTCCTGGCCTTTCAATGGTAAAATAGACTATGAGGTGCGGTGTTCACCAGTGAGAGGCCGAGACACGTCAGTCAGTCACCAGTGAGAGGCCCAGAAACGTCAGTAAGTCAGCTCCACAGCAAGACCGAGGCTCGATAGTACGGTGATAGGTCAATGTTTTAACACTTTACCTCTGGATTTGTGCACAGTTGGCGAGCGTAAGGCCATTATTATTTATTTTTTATATCTCGTGAAATTCGAGCAGGAGGCTCGATCGACGCACGGTCTTAACTTTCCACCACGTTTCACCATCGGGCCTAGCACATTCTCAGCAGAGACATTTTGAGGCAGCATGCATTGATACAGATATTCCGACGCGACTTATCGCCTCGCACCGCGCTCAATAATTTCTGCTTTACTGACGATAAACCTCCTGCCAGCTCCATCTAGCTCGGACCTTCTGCCCATGCATCGCAAACAGCACACCACCTCAAGCCCGAGCAGATCTCCCACACTCCCACAAGGGGTTTGGAGCACCGAGCCGTCGGCGGCCTCCCCTCTCCTCCTGCCCACCCATCTAGAACACCGAGCCGTCGGCGATCTCCCGGTCTCCCACCAGAGGCCCACCCACCTGGAACACCGAGCCGTCAGCGATCTCACGGTCTCCCACCAGAGGCCCACCCACCTGGAACACTGAGCCGTCGGCGATCTCCCGGTCTCCCACCAGAGGCCCACCCACCTGGAACACCGAGCCGTCGGCGATCTCCAGCGCGATGCTCAGCGTCTCGGAGTCGGAGTTGTTGCGGAGGCTGAGCGGCCGCGAGTCGCCACCACCGACGGCCGTGCCCGTCCAGAGCAGCGGGCCGCGCGTCGTCTCCAGCATGTCGAGCTCGATGGCCGCCTCCAGATCTGCGGACGGCAGGTGGGCCATCGGCGAGAGTTCGGCCACGCACAGCTCGGCGTCCGGGAACAGGTCGGAGACGGGCGACAGCTCGGCCACCGAGCGCAGCTCGGGCAGCTCACTCAGCTCGGCCAGGTCGCTCAGCTGGGAGCACAGCTCGCCGGCGTCGGCCATGGCGGCGGGCGGAGGGCGCGGCGGGGCGACCGCTCGGGCACCGGTCCCGGGTCGGAGTGGACGAGCGTCAGCCCGCGGCCGCGGCGGCCACCGGAGGTCACAGGGGCGGCGCCAGGCCCGCCGCCCGGGCGGGCCATACGCACACAAACGCGCACCGGGGTTTGCGAGCCGCTTTTACGCTCTTTTGGTTTAATTGCGCCTCGATACTAGCAGTTTTACGGGTAGCGACGGGGGATCGTGGGTCCTTACCCATCAAGAAGAACAAAAAGACGGTGGATCGCGGACATGTGTCCCTGTACAATAGTGGGTATTCAGCGGGAAAATACACGGTGAAAATAGCATGTAACGATTCAACGAACTTTGGCCAAGTTAACACCAAATACCCGAATAAGCGGGATCTTTGATTTTCAGAAACTCAAGTGTGGTTGTGCTTCATTTCATGCAGCGCCAATATAACATTTCCTGTCAGGCGAACAGATAACACGCTTTAAAAAAAGAAAGAAATAGGGGAGGAGAATTGAGTATCGACTGAACCCGCATTAAACACATTTACGTGCAACAACATATCATTAGAAAATCAGCACTTCGACTCGCTTCCCTGGGTGCCGTTCAGGTTAACCCTCGCCCGTACTGCCGTTTTTCCAGCTGCTAACGTATGGGGGGCCGGGGGGGGGGGGGGGGGGGGTCCGTTACACCCCACCCCCGCCGTCCGGCACCTGGGCCTCGTTTCAAAAAGCGAGTCCGTAACTTACGCCGGTTTTTGGTCTTGTATTGCAAGTATATGTGAAGCGATGATGATAGTTTGTTGAATCGTTGAATTTATTCATCTTGCAAGCAAGAACAGAAGGGAGAAGGGGAAAAAATTTATCGCTTCACATGCGCTTGCAATACAAGCCCAAAAACCGGCGTAAGTTACGGAATCGCTTTATGAAACGAAGCCCTAGTCGAAGAAGAGCTTCGCGGAAAAAAAACGAACGTGTTGCCCGTGACGAAAAGAAGCCTATGAAATCCAAATTTAAGGTTCTAGGTCACCGGTTGGCATTCCATGCCAGTTAAATGACCAAAAAGACGGGAAAATCGGGAAATGGTATAACTTCTTGAAATGCGGTAGCTATGGGGGGGGGGGGGGGTCAGGGTCGCGTTTTAGAATTTCAAATTAGTTTGATCTTAAATGATGTATTCATGTATCTGGGGAAGGTCGGGTCGGCTCAGGTCAACTAGAAGGCGTCCTGTCAGCTATCCATAATAGGAGCGAACAACCACAGCAACTGTCAGCTTCGTAACGTGTTGCGTAGTTCAAAACTGCTTTTCAAGGTGCTCAACTTGGTTATTTCGAAAGCAGCTAAAAAAAACCTATCATTTAAGTCGTAAAAATCGAAAAAGTCATCTGAGGTCACTAAAGGTCAATGACCTTAACCTGACCTGGCCACCGCGGCGGTCCGGTGCCCTCCATAACAGCGCACCTGACGCCGCCCCTGCGACCCGCCCCCAATCGCCGGCGGGCGGGCGCGCGCCAAGGCCGGGAACGAGGAGACACGAGGAGTGTGGCGCCCAGCGCCAGGAGCTACCAGGAGCTAGGTAAGGTCGGGAGAGAACCAACGGTTTTATTGTCCGGGATTTGCTGCGCTTTGGGGTAGACGTATTCTTAGCGACGCTATAGGTAATGCATTAGCTGGATTTCAGTTCGTGACGCTGTGGGGATATGCTGTAAATCAACAGCTTGTCTACTGTCACCACGCGTTTTGGCACCAGTTTTGCTATTTTGATTTGTTCCGATGGGAAACAAACTTGACTCAAATATCTTAAAAAACGGTTCATATTTTTGGGTGAAATTTGGTTACGGAGCGAGCGAAGCGAGCGTAGTCTTTCCTTAGAGTAACGGAAATTTCTGAGTATGAGCGGCCGGCCGGCCGGCCGTGGTCACGATTCTGAGACGCTTATATCTCAGCAACCACTTGACCGATTTACATGCGGTAATTTTTGTAGGGTAGCTTCATTCCTTCTACCAAGCATTGGACTATTCCCGATGCATGAGGGTGACCCGTTATGCACGTGCCACGTGCAAATCGAAGAGGTGTCACTTTTGTAATTGTTGCAATATCTCGGTAACTACTTGGCCGATTGCGCTGAAAGTTGGCATGTAGGTAGGCACCCACTAGGCAATGCATATCCATGTGCCAGAGTTGGGGTGCTGCTGCACGTGCGCACGTGCAGGGGTCGATTCCAGATCTCGAGAACGGCTGGACCGATGACACTCAAATTTGGCACATGGTTAGGGACCGGTTAGTAGGGTGCCGTGCAAAAGTCAGTTGGGACCCATTTTGCACGTGCGCTCGTGCAGGGTGCCGCTTCCAGATCTCGAGAACGGCTGGGCCGATTGTGCTCAAATTTGGCACATCGCTAGAGACCGGTTAGTAGAGTGCCGTGCACAAGTCAGCTGCAGGTACCCCGTCGAAATTTCGCACGTGCAAGGCCCACCCTCTCGCTCGCTCCGTTAGTCGCCCCAAAAGGCGTTATACTGGTAGATATTCATTTTTGCTCTGTCTGAACCACGGTACATCACGTTTCTGCCATTTCGTTCAACTTTTTTGAAGGTGGGAGGGTCTCTTTAAATCCCGCAACGATCGCGGACGGGTCGTATGGACTCAGTTTTCATAAAATACTAGCGTAGGTAATGATCAGTGGGTAATAGCAAAACTTTCAGTAGGTACCTATTTTGCCTTTTGTGTGTTATCCAGTTCAACACCAATCCTGAAAATTAAATGGGCCTGAGCCAAGTCAGATGGTTTTGACCAGTGACCTGTGAGCTGTTTGAGTTCCCTCCCACAATCGAGCTCATGTCTGGCCAGAGTTGCACCTTGACACACGCCAGTGCCCATTACATGTGTGTTTCCAGACTTCATGTGATTACAAACATATAAATTATGAAATGATGCTTATCTCATGGATTCTGATAGGCGTGCAGTTCAAGTCAAGGCCATTTACCTTTGATGACCTCTGGTTATTTTTCAACTCATTTTCAAATCAAACTAAATGCTAAATGTGATGATTCAGTAACAAAAAAATGTGATCAGTTTTCCTAGGGGGGGGGGGGGGGGCGGACAATGTTGGAATTGTATTCGGTCCTGGTCCCAGAGAATAAAATCGTTCCGGAGAACAAGCCAGCTTTTATAACAACACTCTGTAAAACCATATGTTTGGCCTATGAAATGTAAAAGCTGATAAATTGTGTTATTGCCAATGCTATTTCTGCATATTTTAGGCATAATAATAGCAATTTTTATCACACAGGCTGGAAAATTTAGAGGATTCCAGGTGCTGGAGTAAAAATTTGTAGAGGAGAACAAAATCTTTTGGACCCCACTGTGACCAGCAAAGGGTCTTATTTCCAACATTGGTGGCAGATCCAAGGGGGTCATATGTGATATGGGTCATACTCATGACCCCGTTGGGGCCCGAGGCACCTCAGGCATGCCAGAGGCACCTTAGGCCTAGAGGGACACCACAGGCCTAGAGGGGCACCGACAGACCTAGAGGGGCACTGACAGACCTAGAGGGGCACCACAGGTCTACAGGGGCACCACAGGTCTACAGGGGCACCACAGGCCTAGAGGGGCACCACAGGCCTGTCAGGGGCACCACATGATTGTCAGGGGCACCTTAGGCCTGTCAGGAGCACCATCAGTCTTGCAAGAGCACCATCAGTCTTGCAAGAGCACCACAGACCTGCCAGAGGCACCAGAGGCCTGCCAGGGACACCACTGGCCTTGCAGGGGCACCTTGGGCCTGTCAGGGGACAGGGTCACCTTGGGCTTGTCAGGGGCACCACAGGCCTGTCAGGGGCACCATAGTCCTGACAGGGCCATCACAGTCCTGCCTGGGGAGTGGGGCACCACAGACCATAGCGAGGGCACCACAGGCCTGTCAGGGGCACCACAGGCCTGTCAGGGGCCAAGGGGCACCACAGTCCTGACAGGGCCACCACAGACCTGCCTGGGGCACCACAGACCTAGCAAGGGCACCACAGGCCTAGCAGGGGCATCCCAGAAGACACTGACCCCCCCCCCCCAAAAAAAACTGAAAATAGGGCACCACCAAAATTAAGTGGCCAAAATCCATTGAGTTTTTAATTTTTGGTATATGTAGAGGCACACATTTCAATTCATGACCCCTCCCCCTTTGGAGTTTTCATAGATCTGCCCCTGCACACCTATTTTGTTGATGAGCATTTCTGAAATAGCCAAGGAAGTGAGGTGCTTGCCAACTGAGAATTTATCCTTTGGTACAATGCTTATCAAACCAAGTGGCTTTGTTTTTCTCACAGACAATGACAATACAGAAACAATGTATTGTCATTGTATGTGAGAAAAACAAAATGTCTGACTCTTCCAAATGGCTATAATAGCCTAAATGTTCTTTCATGAAATACATGTTACACAGCACAATATACACACCATATAAAAATACACATACAAGAAGATTGTGTGCACATCACACTGCAGGAATATCAATATTAGCGAAGACAAAATGGCACTTATATGGCATAAATGACAATTATCTGCTCATCAGCATAACATGTACTTCTAGTTCTGTTACTCTGTACTTCATAGGTAACCCATGCTATCATATCATTTTGACCTTAACCTTAAATCTCAAACATCATGCAATGACCAGCACCTGCAGCATCATTTCCATTATTTCTCAAGAAGGCCTGAATTCAGTTGGGCAAACTAGGCGGCGGGAATCAAAATATGGAGGCATCAAAATATTGATTCTAGTGGGCGGAGCTTTGACCATATATGGGCATAGAATCAATATTTTGATTCAATTTGGGACATTCCCACCTTCAGACGACCCGTTACGGCGGAAATAACCCCCATGACGGCGAGATTTTTCGACAAATCAATACAAAAAACTTCCCCGCTTCAATTTTTCGCTGCATGGCTATCAGCCGTTTGTCGCGCGTACCTTTACGAATGGCATAAAGTTTTCGCCGCCATAATTCAACAAAAACGTGCTGTTAAAACTTGCTCTGTTTATCATCAACGACGAG